AGATCCATCAACCATTATTTCGCAGATATCTCCATAATTTGGTCGGCATTTACAATAGAACGATCTTACATCGTAAACCATGTTGTGAAGGTTTCCGATGAATGGCAAAGGGAATGGACCATGGAGTGGATTGGGGCGAGTTAAATATTTATAATAGAAGTTAAAAACGTAAGTAGCAAAGATTAAAGCAAAAATAAGGAAATAATCTGTAATACTAAGGGATTCAATAATTTCCCGAATAGCCATTTTGAGTTATGTGCACTTATCTACTAAGAGACAGAGACCGAACAAAGTCAAAACTAACTTTTTTGACGTACTAATTTTTGATTAAGAATCTGTTTATAAATAATTTATTTTGTTGTTCGCAAATATTTATAGCAAAAAACTTCCCACATGAAAATTCTAATGAAGTTCCGTGTCATGTCAACATTTATTTTTTTATTTAAGCACCTCACGGATAATTAAGATTACAAGATGTAAATAATTTTTACAGTGAAACTTAAAGAATGAAAAACTGGTAACATTATTTGCTAGCTTAATTAATGATCTGGATGTTATTAAAAAGCGGGCCGTTCAGACCAAATCCGTTAGGAGCATTAGTATCAATGAAGGGCTTCAAGATATCTCTTTTTATTAAGGTCTCGAGATATTCATTATATACATTTTTATAGATAAATATTTATGCATTTATATTCGTATCAACAGATATTGAATTAAATACACTTTTTATTAAAGAAAATTATAACATCTGAAAATCACTTATCTAATTAAATCAACACCAGATGGATATTATGGGTTATGGCCCATGGTTATACAGTGGGTTAAGTGATGTGAATGAATACCGACAATTTCACATGTCGCACATTCGCCTATGCGATACTTGCATCTATATTTGAAATCCGTAATAAAACATTAAGTGAATTTCCTGATTTTCACTCTCACGCACTCATTTTGTTAATTCTGAACCGATTATTCCAGTACGTATCAGTATTCATATGATATCATTTCTATTTACAGATAGGATTTGTATTACACATAGATCTAATTTCTATTATTGTTTAAAATTGCTATTGATTATTGTATATTTGCTACGCTTTAAGATAACCGAATATAAATATGGCTTGAAGTGATGACTTATGACTGCGTTGCATACGTGGTAATTACTAGCAGTACGAACCGCATTTTAAGAATACGATACTTGCCATAAAATTACTTTCATTATAAATTGAATGGTCCCATAATATGCGTAAGTTTTAAGCTAATGATTTTGTGCGTCAAGTTTGATTTTTAATTGATAGTGTAATAAATACTTGACATTATTTGTCTCTTCCTTTTTATAGCAGTACGCTAAAAAAAACCTATTTGTATTATACGTTTATATGGTCCGATTCTTGATTCAATTCAGAACTCATAGTCAGAAGTTCGTCTGATTGGCTAATAAATTCAATTTAATTTTAGATTATTTATACGGTTTAGAGTACTTTTTTTTTTTTTTTTAAAAAAAAAAAAACCATCCATAATAAAGTAAAAAAAAAAAAACTATCTCAAAGATTTCATTAAAGTTGTAGGACTCATAGTCAAAAATAAGATCTAAATCTCGTCCGTTTAAAAAAACTAGTTTGGTAATAAGATGATTTTATCGGGTTTAAGAAGTTATTACTATACTAACTTTTTTAAACGAACAAAAATTAGATCTTATTTTTGACTATGGAGTCCTACAGCCCCAATGAAAACTTCTATACAGCTTTTTTTTTAGTTCGTTATGATTAGTTTTCGGTTTTTTAAAAAGTACTCTAAACTGTATAAATAATGTAAAATTAAATTGAATTTATTAGCCAATCAGACAACATTCTACCTATGGATTCTGAACTGTTCCCGCAAAGGATAATCCAGTAAAATTATAGAACCTCGGTTAATCAACCTTAAAATATATGCAAATGAATACTGTCGCTAACATAATGATTTTAATATAAAGTGGTCGATAATTTCTGCGCTAAGAAAAAACAAAAAAAAAAAACAAACCAACCAAAATACTACCAAATAATATTTACTTAACATTTAATACTCAAAAATGTATTACTACTTAGCAGCAATTGTTGCATTTATTAGCTACTTTCTGTATAAATGTTATATTTATCCTTTATATTTGTCGCCATTAAGCAAAATTCCTGGTCCACCTGTTAATAATATAATTCTTGGACATATTTCCTCTTTATTAAAAGACCCTATTAAAAGCTATTTTCACTTAACAAAACAATATGGTGGAATATTTAGATTTCATGCCTTATTGAATAAACCACATGTATTAATTGCCGATCCAAAACTCGTTAAAACAATATTTATTAGTCGTTCGTATGATTTTACGAGGCTTGGTGTTACTAGTCCTATGACTAAGGATTTGATTGGTGATGGCCTTTTACTTGCTGAAGGTGTTTCTCATAAACGACAAAGAAAAATAATGTCTCCTATATTTTCTTTTGCCAATATCAAGGTATTCTTTTACGACAATTAATGATCTATTAAAAAGTTAATCAAATTATAAATAACACTTTTAACTTTTCTAATTTTAAGGAAATGACTCCAACATTCGTTCAAGCTGGACATACATTAAAAACTATCTGGATGAAGGAAATTGGTAATAAGAGAGAGGGAAGAATCACGATTTCAAATTCAATTTCCAAGATAACATTGGATGTTGTTGGCCTTGTTGGCAAGTATTAGTTTATATTCGCATTATATGTTAAGTTTTTTTTAATAACGCTCCGAATAGTAACCGTAAACATGTTATTTATTGAAATAGGATTTAATTACGAATTCAATTCTACAACTACAGAGACTGAATTAGCTAAAGCATACGGTTTCATAACTAAGCGAAATCCAACGCCTTTATACATTTATCTTTCCAAACTTCTTCCGTTTATCAGAAAATTGCCAACGCATGATAACAATAAACTTTATGATGCTGTTAACACTATCAATAACATTTCCGAGAAACTACTTGCTGATCAAAAAAATAGTTCTGTTCAAGGAACAGATTTATTGTCATTATTGGTAAAAGCAAATTATCAATTACCCGTTAATGAACAATTAACTCATCGTGAATTACTTAGTTCGGTAAGGATTAATTAATAATTTATTTAAACTTTTTTATTTTAATTATTGAATATATGAAATTATTTAAAATATATAAAATATATACAGTAAAACCTCCATAAGTGCACACCCCCTCTAAATGACGCTTAAGTTCAGGCCCAAATATATAAATTACCTCCATAACTGCACTTTTTCTTATTGTTATCTAAGTGCACGTCGTTAAAGTTCGGCACCAAGAGCGTGCACTTATGGAGATTTTACTGTATAATTTATTAAATTTACTTAAAATTTAAATCTAATAAATTTCAGGTTATGACTTTCCTTTTGGCTGGACACGATACCTCATCTGTTGTATTAACTTGGGCATTATACTTATTAGCAAAAAATCCTGATATTCAAGATCGTCTTCGCAAAGAAACACTTGATATATTCCCTGATCGTGATTATCATCCA